CAAGATAATACTTAATCAGTGCATGGAATTTGTTTTCTTTGGCAGCCATTTTGAGTTTTGCAGGCAGTTGGTGTGAGATCTGGGACTGAGAATTCTTTGGAGCTGTTTGTATCTCTTATTTTTTCTTGGCAAGTGATCAGATCTTCCAAGAGTTTTCCTAATGTCTCAGACCTGTCCACCCAATTAATATTAATATCCTTAACAATCTTTGATTAAGTATTACAGTCAACTCTCTCTAAGAGGGACACCTTTGGGACCAGCACTACACGTAAGTGTCCGTCTTATAGAGAGTCAAATAAAGGGAGTATCCCAACTCTAAGGGCGCTTTCCATTTGTCAGAACTGACCGACCAGCCCATTCCCATGTTAATGAGAATTTGACTTGTAATCAAAACTAACCATCCAGATCAGTCAAATCCAAAATATTATACACAAAGGAGATAGTTTTTCAGCTAAACCTCTTGGATAAAGCCTATGTCATTGCCAGAAAGTATGGTTGGGCAATGGTCCGGCTGGCCAGTTCTAACTTTTGGAAATCGCCCTAAGAGTCTGTTTTACAGAGGTGTCTGTTAGAGAGAGTCGACTTTATTATCATTATTTCAAAATACCATATAATCTAACTGCAAGTAAGAGCCCCCTTTGATGATGTTTACCAATCCAACACACAAGATCCTAGAAAACTCACATAATATGGTAAGTGTGGTTGTAACATCTGCTTTTGAATACTATTAAACAGGGGATGAAGCCTTCAATGATCTCCCCAATAGACAGCTTGAAAAGTCACCTCAAAGTCAAATAAACCCGACTGAAAATGAACTTGAGATATCAGTAGAAGGTAACAGCTGCAGCAGTCAACTTGCTGATGACTTAAAAGAGAAGCTGGAGGTTTTATTAGATCTGTTGGTTGACTCTTCTAAAGGTGCTTCAATCGAGATGTTAGAGCGGTACTACAGTGCACTTCAGTCTTGCATCCACAAGCAGCGTCACAGTCATGATAAGACACAACTTCTCAAGGTTTGTTTTCTCTGAGGTTATGTTAAGCTCTACTCCCCTTTGCTACCAAATCAGACTTGAGCTTGGCAAACTAATATTGAAAATGTGAGTGTGATAGTTGAATAAACAAAGCAGATTTTACAACATTCCATGAATGCACATTTTTCCAAAAGGACACTGTATTAAACTTTTTATGCAGTGTACTGCTGTGCACTTGTACATGGACATGTACGTGTACCAGTTTGACATACTAGCTTGTGGGGTCCATTTATACCTACTAATGAGACAGGAATTTGCGAAATGGAATTATTCAGAAATGATTATCCTATCTTCCACTAATTCCCCAACTATTGTGACTTACGTGTACTGAGTACATGACGGTTTCAAAATTTTGAGAAAGTTATGTCCCAAAGAGTCTCATTTCCTTCTGTTGCTCAGGGCAAGTACATAGAGGAAATTATGCAATTAGGCCCCAGTTTAACAGCACCACATTGTTTCGGTATTCTCACAACACACTATTTTTCTGGAGAGTCGAATGAAAAGAGATTCTGAGATCATCACATTCTCTCAACATTTTGTTGAGTGAATGTCAAGAAATGTTAAGACCATGCCACTTCAAACCATCAACCACAACATGCCGAACAAAAATGAACAGTCTGCTGTGTGTTTTTCCATGAAGTCCCAGTTAAACAGTTGCCATGTCTCAAAACAATGTTGAGTTGGGTTGTCAGTTAGTGAGTTAGAAATTAGCTCTGAAAATGTTGCGAGAAAGTGTAGAGAAAATATTGTGATAATTTGAGCAGGCTTTTATGTGGAATTGGAATTGTGCTTCGTGTAATCATCCAAAGCACACAGACTTGCTTTGAATAGACCAATTTCAATAATGGTAAAATTCATACTTGGCTAAAGGGTTAGGGAAATAAAACAAAAGAAATGTATTACAGTCCAACCCAATTGATACAGACACTAAGGGGGCCATGGAAAGTGTCCATATTAACAGGGTGTTCGTATAAAGTGGGTTGAATAATTAGCCAAAGTGTAAGGGCTTTCTTTCTCCAGGGAAAAACCACACTGTCCATAATAATGAGGTGTCTATATTAAGCGGGTGTCCTTAAAGGGGGTTTTGACTATATTCATCGCTGAATCTCAAGATTGATTCATTTGTTTTATTCCCCTATACCTTGGAGCCAAGTTTGAATTTGGGTCTATTCAAATTCTTACCCAGAGATCCCTATGTTTTTGTTTATTCAATAACAGTGATGTAATTTCATTTTGTGTGTGTGTGTGTGTTGCAGGACCTGGAAATAATGATTGAAGGGTTTGGACCATCCCAGACACAGACAAGAAGATTCTGAAAAACATAGTAGGCGTTTCAAATGCTGTAAAAACAAACTTTTCATAATACCTGTAAATAGTTGATCACTTTGCATTACCTGGCAACAGTTAATTTATTAAAATTAAATTATTTTGATATGTTATTAATTATGTACATTATTGTAACTTCCCTGCAGTGTACCTGTAGAATTGTTGTTCTTTGATGAAACTTTTGATAGTCAATTCCATTTATATTTTTTTGGGTGCTATTATTCTACAATTGGAAACCCTCGCCCAAACTGCTGATAATACAACAATACCTTAACACTACAGATAGATTTTTCAATTCCAGAGAAGAACCTAAAGAGATACTGCAATCATTATTATCTCAATGAAAGATAACTGAGATCCAATCCTTGATCACCTTACTTCAAATTCTGGTTCTGGTGAACCTAAACTAAAACAAAGACATTAGTGCAACAACAATGACTGCTGTGTAGTCACTTACTAACCTGATGCACTCATGAGAGGCAGTTACGAATGGAAGAAACTCTAATCATGTAGTCCTAGCTAAAAAAAAAATTGCTTGCAATTGTAGCTTTAGGATCAAGTGTAACAGTCATAACTAGGATAAAAGGTTTTGATATTAATCTTAAGGGTTAAGAAAACTTGAAAATTATTGGTTTGCACAAAAAATTTTGTATTAACTAACAAAGAATAATTTCCAGAACTTTCTTGCAATGAAAATGGCATCACATTCTTACATTTCTTCCTTTTGCAAATTGCAGCAGTAAATGATCGCTCTAGAGAAATATACCTCTAGGAGTTAATGATGGTGGAAGTTTTCATAATAAAGAAGTACTTTTTGACTCTTGATCCAAGTTTATCGTTGTTCCTATTACCTGCTGCATTGCTAGAGGGAATAATGACCAATATGTTCTGCTTAAACCTATGCTTATAAATCAAATATTTTTAACTGAAACTTTAGTTACAAACATTCCCTTATTAGCAAAAATGAGCTGAGATCTTTGCAGTGCTGTTGCTCTTGCCTCTTTATTATACAGAATTAAATTGAATTTAGAGAAAATTTACTGATAACCCAAACTGGCTGAAGTAAAAGTGTCCTTGTAAGGCAAGTGTCTATAAAGTGGGGTTTGATTGTACTGCACACACAAAATCCCTTCATTACTCTAGTAGATTTATGTATTTCAAATCTGCCCTTATTTTGTAATCAAGGAAAAGGTCACTTTGCACTGGACATTGTTTTTATGATGACCAGTAAAAAGCAACGTGTTTAGTAACTGACCCTTCTCTGAGCCTTCAAAGCCCTTCCAATCCTAAAGAAAATGGTCGTCTGATCTTGTGAAAATAAAAATAATGTCAACAATATCTTCATGGATGGAATGGTATGCATGATGCAAAATGGCAGATCATGATGCTGAATTTTCACAGTCAGGGAAAAAGAATTTTGTTTTATAGAGATCACACGGATTTAGATCAAGTCTTAAGACCAGACAGTAACTAAACATACTGTCACCTACTTGTGACTAGAAAAAATAAACAGTAAAACCCAAGTAACTCCAACTATGAAAGGAAATGAAAAACAGTTCGAGTTAGCAGAGAATTCGAGTTATTGGGGTAATTTTCAGTGACATTTTGATCAAGGGAAAGGAAATTTTAGTTCCAGTTAGTGGGGAATTTGAGTTATCTGAGTGTGTTCCAAGTTGATGTCCTTTTAACAGGCAAAAAGAAAAAAAATATATCCAGTCAATGTGCTAAAATTATTAGAGATATCAAAGCTTTGTAAATAGCAATATCAGTACACGAAAAGCATAAGGCCCATCTGCTATAAACTAATGTGCACGCCACAACTCAGTGGAGAAACTACTGCTTGCAAAGCTTTAGGCCCATTTTTAGGTGCATCATGGACACGTGATTTATTGATGTAAAGACTAAAGAAGATTAGGAACAATGACTGCAGCAAAAAGCCAAGGAAGTGAAACTTGTGTAGCAGGAGGCAAATAACTTTATTAAAGAACTCAAAACATTAAAATCAAGCATGTCACATTATTTTGTATAAACCTATTGAAACCTGTCATTACAGTCAAACCCACTTTATGGACACTTCACTGTTATGGACAGTGTTCTTTGTCTTTGGGGAGTAGAAAGCCCTACTTACATTTTCTCTTAATTAAACCCGCTTAACCCTATTAATATGGACACTTTCTATGGCCTCCTCAGTGTCCGTTTTAATGGAGTTTGACTGTACTTGAACAGGGTACAATGTCTACATTATTATCTATAATGTCTTTTCATATTATCACATGATTGTGACAAGGAAAATAATCAGTGCACAGGTAACCAAGGCCAGCAAAGCAAGGTTGAGGATACATCAGAGTTTGTTACCCGAGACAGACAAGCGTCCCTTGTCTGTATTAAGTGGGTTAATTTTAGAGAAAATATACAAGGTTTTTATTCAGACAGACAGAACTGTCTGTTAACTTATATACAGGTGTCCTTATTAAGTATTTCATTATAATGTATCACTAAATAAATAGTATTAATAGTGCCAGAAATTCAGAATCATACTATTTTAAAAGTATCTTATAATTATTGAAAGTATTAGTTTCTTTGGCAAAAGTAGCACAGTAAAAAATAAAAGTAATGCTAATGTCCCTTCCCATTTATAAACGTTCACTCTGTTAAAACTGACGGCATCCCTTCTCCTATAAATTTTGTGTGGCTTGCTTTAGCAATGAGTTTTCCATCTTTGTGTAACAGTTCAGCTGCAGTGAAGGCTAGAACCTTTCCCAACTTCACCACTTCTGCATTTATAATAATTTCTTGTCCTGGTTTAGCAGGCCGTAAGTAACTTATACTCATATCTACGCTCACGCCAGGTTTATGAGGAGGCTTGGAAGCAACCACAGCAGTAGTCAATGTGTCGACCAAAGTTGCCGTCATCCCTCCATGGAGTGTTCCTGGGCGATTTAAATGACTTTCATCCACTATCATTTTAAATGAAGCCTTGCCTTCCTCAAATGACAGAAGTTCCACCTTGAAATAATAATGATATAAAAAGAGAGTTAGACCATCCTTTTTTTTTTTTGTACACTCGAATGTGTTTCCTGATTTTGGGTCAGTCGGTCAGGTTAAAAAAAACTAAAAAAAAGTCTCAGAATAGGAGGCCAGGTACCCCAGCATCATTGCTGTGGAGCCTGGAAACAACGAGACATGAACACAAAATATATATGGCAGAAGCGTTTGTTGCTGTTATAGTAAAGTCAAGACAACATGGAGGAAAGGATCAACCACCAAAACTCCTATGCAACCTACCAGCATCCCTCACTTTTCAGCAAGAGTTTTTTGTATCAAACAAATATTCACAAAAACAATTTTTAGTCCAACACAGAGTTGCAACATTGCAAGGCTATGTTGGGTTAAAAATCATTGTCATGAATCGTCCTGTGTAAGATCACCTTTGCGGATTTGTGCTGGTTAGAAACTACGACAGGTTAATTATTTCTTTTTTAACAGAGATATATTGAAATTTTTCAAACTAAGTTTAAATCCTTGTTGCCAGTAAGGATAATGTTAAAAGTTACTTTTTACTTATTGGGATTAACCAAATGCAGAATAATATGCTGTAAAAAAAATGTTCCCTTTTTCCACTATGCTGTTATTATACTTATTTTTTGGATTAAAAAAGTTAATTAAAGTGAAAAGATTTAACTACGTCATTACTTTTTCTTTTTTTTTGAAAATGGCCAAAATTTGGGTGAGTCGGAAGACGGTAAAAGGAAAAAAAAAAGGGGATGGCCTTATGGATTAAGAAAACTGCTTAGCCTCTGGACGTTGTGAAAGAATATGTCCCAAAAGTGTGTATTGGTCAGCCAACAATAATTTGACTGACTTGCATAGCCTTACAAAAGACTGATGACTGCAGTCACCAAAATTGTCTTAAGTGAAATGTAGTTCAGCTAGACTGTTAAAACCAAGGGCGATTTCACTTAATATACACCCCTTCATGTTGACGAAGGACTTTGAAATTTCCTAACCCTCAGAAAAGTGCTCTTTTGTCCCCAAAATCCTCAGAAAATTTGCCTAAACGCCAAAAGAAAAATTTTTGCTTCTTTGCTACTTCCCCTCAGAAAATCTGGTCTTCAGTCCTACTTCAGAAATTCCATTTAAGATTTTTTGTTTACCTCTTCAGAAAATTTCGTCAATAGCGGGGGGGAGGGGGGTGAAGAGTGCCTACCCCCCCCGGACTTTGTTGCTATTGGGGATAAATGCCACTGAATGTTGACCCTCTGAATACTTAGAAAATGAACTCCACGAGAAGATCAAACCCTCGCGAGAGCTAACAGCTTTTACCCTACTCTCTCCGGCTCCATGTAAAGTATAAAGGCACCCGGTGAAGTGTAAACTACTTTTATAATTCAGTCAGTTTGAATAATTAGGCTCAGCCCCGCTTGGCGTATTGCCTTTCATCTTTTTTCTACTCACGGCTTTCGCCACTCGATCAAATCCTTTAGTTGTCTTTGCATAGGCACCCATGCCCATCAGAAGTTGTCGAACTTTTGAAGATGACGCCATTGTGAAACATGACTCAGATACTTTTAATACCCACGATCCTTTGCGAATTAAGTTCCGTCCCAGTCCACACACCTTGTTTCGATCTTTTCCGTGTCGACACGAAATTGGTCATCGTGGAGGAACAAAAGGCATTTTGAAAAGTTGTATTATCTGGTAGCCCTTTACTTTGACAAGAAGTAAGTTGCTGTTTAATATTCCTTACATTATTTCCTTACTCAGCTTTTTGATTTATTAGACTAGTTAAAGACTGCACGTCGAGGTTTAACAAAATCCCACGTGTACATAAATCTGGAGCTGTAAATCATATTATATCAAGAATCCTTGAATCATATGGTGGTGATGGTGCTTTGTCCTTTATCGAATGATTCGGCTTGATCTATAAATGTGGTCTCAACCTAATCCTAGGTTGGATCGATGACAATAGGTCAGATATCCAGGCTTTTACATTAATTTGCAGGATCACTGTGATACATATTGCATTGTGTATATAGTAAATATAGCAACCGGGATTCATTTTAGCTTATTAATATATATGTTGTAGTTTAATTTTGCCATTCTGTCAGCTTTTATTCTCCTTTATTTGAGGATATGGGTATGGATGGTGAGGAAAAACAAAAATTGAACCCAGGATAACATTAAACCACAAAACATATATTGCTGGATCTGAAAAAATAGTTCCACTGTATGCCATATTTGCCATTGTCTTGAATAAGTTGGTTCTAAAAATCAGAGACTTCTGACTAAACAGAAGTTTCAAGACTTTGAGACTTACTACAAATACTTCCAAGATTTTGAGATTGGACCAAAATTTTCATAAACCCAGAATTTTCTAAAGACTAACAACCATCCCTAACATAAGAAGAAGTGAACTGCTACAGGGTGCAAAGAAAATCATTTTTACAGCTTGCCATTCAGGAAAGCTGAAACTAGGATTTACTAGCCCAAACGTCATTTCAACTAGCCCCAAAAGCTTTTTGACAAGCAGAATTGATTTCACAGTTCTTCTTCAATTTGAATTCCGCAAAAATCATCACTTGCCCATCGGGCAAGTTAAAAACAGAATTCACTAGCCCGAAAGCAAAATCCATTCTCACTGGGGTATTGGACACTACTTTCTTTGCACGCTGTGCTACCACCTTTTACATAATTTTTGGATTTAATTAAGTGTGAAATTAAGCTTTTGCTGCAGACTGCAGACCACAACCTTAAAATATCAAGAACTAAACAGAATTGGTACCCTGTTCTGCAGTCCTGAATTTGATTTTTCGAAGCCTTTCTCTCATTTTGCTTGCCGGTGGTCACGGAATGCCAAAAAGGTATACTGTACTTGCCCAACAGGAAAATCTTGTTCATTTGCACAGCAGGAGAGGACTCTTTTTAGCCCTATTTTTTTAGGGATTTCCTAGCTATAAAACTGAACAGCTGTTTCCACAATCCATAGTACTGTAGTCCTCCTGCAGTTATCAAAGTGTGGTGGCTGCACATCCGAAACCTAAAACAAGACCAGTTTTTGTAATTTTGTAATTGGAAATTTTGTATGTAGCAGTCATGATTCTATAATCAAGCCATTTATAGCCAAACCTCAGATAAGTGACCGCCCAAAATGCAAAGTTTTAGCAGTTTCTCTCAGGAGTTGGTTGTGTTTGAAAATTGAACCACAGGAAACCACTTTCTGTCATTTCAGTAGAAGTCATTTGATTCTAAGTGACCGCCCAAAATGCAAAGTTTTAGTGGTTACTCTCAGGAGTTAATTGCATTTGAGAATTGAACCACAGGAGGTCTCTTCCAAGGATGAGTATGACCATGTCTACATTGTGGAACAGAACTACATGTAGTTGCTTGCAGTTTCAAAGTAATTTAATTTGGTTCCATGTACATGCATGTTATGTTGTTACCAAAAAATTCTTCAAATATTCATGTTGATGCGTTCACTTATGAGAGGTTCAGAACATAAAAGAATATAATAAAACCATCACACACACTGAAGGTTTGACTGGGTTGTAACATATTAATACAAGGCTAGAGTTCATATGAGGACATGCTGTTCTCAATAATCCTTCAAAATCATGAAGCACAATCATAATACATCTTTAGGTCATAGAGTAATAATAATACTTTGTGACCTAAATGTGGCTTAAGCAAATTTTGACCCCTAAAAGAGACCGCTTAAAAACACACAAATACGACATGCAATGAGTTTTAATGATGTAAAGACATAATCATCGAATGCTTTTATCTAACAGTAGTTTTTAAAAGCATTTTCATAAATCTCAAGTTCTTCGCGGGACCCTAAACGAGACCTTGGCGGCTTAAAATATTAGCGCTTTGCCCGGAACACCCTAAGTGAGACCAAAATCCAAAATTTACACCCCTAAGTGAGACGACGAGCATCCCCGTCTGTTTCATATGGGAGTCCCCCCCCGGGCTTCAATTATTATTAATAATATTCTCATTAACACTGAAGTAATCTATATCCCTTTTTCTACCCAAAACTGTTTGATTGATGTTGGTCTGTCTCAAAAAAGTTTATTTAATTGCCTCCTTTCATGTTGTTTTCTTAGCTTATGACAATGTTTAACATAAAGATTACTGGTATTCTGTTTCTGTTGTAGCCATGATTACAGATATTCAGCTTGCAGCCTTTGCAAACATCCTGGGTGTATCACTGTTCCTTCTAGTTGTCTTGTACCACTTTGTAGCAGTCAATAATCCCAAAAGAAAGGAGGAGTAAAGTTATTTCCACCAAGAATATTATAACTGTAAGTGACGACATTTGTTACAGAGTAGGTTTTGAGAATGTTATTATTTGATAGTGCTGATATTTATAACTTACCAATTAAAGAGGGAGCCTGGGCTACAGATGAAACTAAACCTTTGATTAAGTCTGTCTGCAAAACAGTGCCAAAATCCTTATTCTGAGCCCCACCAGCACCTGTGTACCAGGATTTAAGCATGCATCATGATTGGCCTATCAAAAAAGCCATTCTCGATTTGCCAATCAGGTTGAAGGGGATTTGAAATGCACATTCATTAATTCATTGAGTCTGTTGGGGGCCCAGAACGAGGATCTCGGTGCTGCCTCTTAGACGTTAGTAACTGGGGTTAGATTATCTCTGTGATGCAGGCTCATTAACAGGAGGACATCGGGGTTTGCACTATTCAGGTGCTGGAGAATTGTATGCAGCAGTATTAGATCAGCAGTTTCAATCTTCATTTGTTATACTACTACTGTCCAGTCACTCCTCCCTTGTGGAAACTTTGCCATTATAGACACTGCCCATACAGACAGCTACTCTACACTTCTTGCTTAAGACCAATTAATGTTTCAGTCTCACTACCACTGATATGTTTGTCTAGTCCATCCAAATATTTTCTGCTCTATAAAAGCTGGTTCTGCAATCAATCTAAACACAAATCAGCTTTTAATAGCCAACACTGGGAGGGAATTTGATTGATTGAGCCATATGTAACTGCAACAATCAAGTGTCAGCAAATTTTTGGTTTCCTAAAATATTTTTGTTGTGAGGCCTTTTTCTATTATTATCCTTCTTTTTCTTAGCCCTGTTTCGAATATTGTTCTGCAACTTTTCATTGCATTCAAAAATATGGCAAATCCCTGACACATTTTCTAGCACTTTAACTTCCTAAAGACTAGAACAAATAAAATTAGTGAAACAAAAAATTGATCTGAGTTTTAGCTTTTGAAAGCTGCTTTGGATGCTCGCGTTAAAAAATTGTAAAAAAAATTTACAGTGAAGGTTTTTTTTAGTGTTGGTTCATTATGATAGCCAGTTCAATAAGTTTAATTTTGATATAGGGTTTTAGGTATCTGCAGTTCAACTGAAATGCCATACTTTAGTTACACATGAGACACCCCTGAAGGTATCTGGTAACCTTTTAATAAGGCCTTGAGTTCTATATGGTCTGGGAATTAAACCAGGCCTACCACTTTGTTGTCTAGTACCCAAGCAATTTTGAACCATCCATTCATCAGCAGTCCAACAGCACTGGAATCTCTCAAAAAATTTCTAAAATGAACTTTTTCATATTGTTGTGGAATGAATATAAAAAGAAAGTTGGTTTATGTAAGCCTGCTACTCTACAGTGGAACCTCGATATAACGAACCTTTATGGGACAAAGTCCTCAGTATAATGAACGATTTTCTTTACCCCAGAAATGGTGAAATATAATGAAAAAGAACCTTGATATAACGAACCCTTGTTATAGCGAACTATTTTTGCCAGTCGAGAGTATTGAGTAACACCATCTTTTCTCTTTCAGGTACAAATAATTATTATTAAACATTTTTCGCTAACATATTTCAATACTACATAAAAAGAAGAATCCAAGTGCTAACATGGACAAGAGTGGATCATCAAACTTTCTTTAATTTTTACTGATTCTTTGTATTTTCCTTGATATGCTGATTTCAACAATGGAACTTTGTCATCTGAATCTGTGCGAACGTCTTTGTAGGCAATAAAATAATATTTAAATGAAATAAATCTAATATTTTTTAGAACTCTCTAAGAATTGTTCAGGTATGAAAGGTTAAAGTTGTTTACAGTGGAAAGTGCACTTAGTTTAATGTCCAGCTACTTTACACAAGAGGCACTCCGCTCAAATTATAAACAAATAATTCGAATGGAACACAACAGGATTAAAAGCCCCAACTGGCAGGAGGCCATCATCTAGCTATATACAAGCATGGCCAAGGATTTAAACTCAGGATGACTGAGAACAAATACAGGAAGTGGCCTGAGTAGGACTAGAAATGGGCCCCTGTTTAGTGCTTCTGAATGGTAGTGTTTACTTCAATCAATCAGAAACCCTGCCGAGATCTGGGTAGTGACGCGTCATCAGAATGGAATTTCTGCGTTCGTTCCTCAGTAGCCTCCCACGCAGAGGTTCTTAGGGGTTCGTCCCCCTGAGAACGTCTGCGTGGAAGGCTAGGAAACTAGAGGTGAGCTAGCCTGAGTATCAGGCGTTTCTGGGGGAA